ACAAGATTCCTGGTTCCTACGCCCGCGCATTTATTAGCAATAAAAAATTAAGTGTTAATTTTAAAAAAAAAGAAGTAAAGCTCTTTTCCTAATGAGCCGATCTGAGGCCATTTCTAAAATTTAAGCCGGCACCACGAGAGCTATGTTCCAGATAAAGGCACCTCCACTTCATAAAGATCGGCCGGTCCTTATAACGCATGACAGCGCAATAAGGATCGGTTGATCTCAGCGTTGCGGCGCCGCAGTTCCACACCGATGTCACTCTGCACTACCTCTGCTTTGCCACTATTTTTTCTTCAGAATTTGGCTTGCTATCGTTCTCTAGGTTGTGTTAAAGTTTTCAGAAGCCGACAACAAGTAAATCGACGAAATCAGCCAAAAGGTATTTGACCGCAACGCAACAGCGCCGCACCCTCGATTGGTCTACTTCTACGAAGTATAGAGATACCCCGACACACGATAACAAAAAAGCTTGCATTGGAAGCAGGGCGCCGCCGCTTAAACCAAGGGTGCAGTAGATACAAAGCTCAGCTGTTGCTGCATGCGAGGTAAAAATTGGGTTTTCTACGAATTCTTTGATTTTTTTCACTATGATGTATAACGCGCCAGAAGAGCACTTTGGCAGATTTGTGTCCTGACCTGATGCCCATTTTTTTTTAAACGCAAATCCCAATGTTCTCAAATTCCGCCGCCAAATTACTATCCATGTAGTTTTTCTTGATGAGGGGAACCCAGCAAATGCAATGGCTACAGCCACTCCATGCAAATGGCACGGAAAGTGATGGCACTTCGCCAAAAGCAAAACGACAGGAGAGACGATAAAAAGCACAAAGTTTGCATAAAACTCGAAGATATGCAAGGAACCAAATAAATCCGCGAATTCATAAGCAATAGAATGATAGCGCCGACTTCTGCCAAGGTAGCTGCCTGACCATTGGTATTCGAGGAAGAAGAGATATAGAAAGAAAATATCTTTGAAAAACCCAACTTGCTCTTTCTCGCCTGCATAAACAGTTGGTTCTTGAATATTTCACGCCTTCCACCTCAGAAGCCGCGCTCCGTCCCTTTGCTCGCAAGTGTTTCCTATTTTGCGTTAGAAATTGGTTAAAGATAGGTTTTGCACGTTTTGTGACAAAAGGATGGAACTTCTACCACTTTACCAAAAAAGGAAGGATCATCTCTAATAATATGAAAAATTTTGGCTCTCTTCTGAACCTAAATAGCTTCAGCTCTCTGTCCATGAACAGCAAATCTTTAAAACAATAAGATAAAAAATAAAAGTTCTGCAAACCGATATAGGGGTGTGGTTGCTAAAAGAAGGATAATGAGAGGCATCCAGCGGATAGTTGCGTACAAGTTGTACCTTATTTCCTGAAATGCTATGCAAAAAAGAATACACACATCTTATAATAATAAAAGTTATTTCAAGATACATGTATATTCGTCAAACGAGAGAAAGATAATCAATGCAGAACCATGAATAGAAAATTTACTCACAATCAGTAATTCAGTAGAATATGGTCAAACTAATTAGGATGGCAGAAGGTATGTCAATAATTTTTCGAGAAGTTTACAATTAGGTATAACATTTTTAAGTTTTCTGATAGCTTCCTTCATTGTGTTTTCATTATAAAAATCAACTCTTGAACTCAAAGACTCTAATGACTCAAGCGCCTCGTCAGCTGCTTTTCTCCAATCACCTCCAGGATACTGTGAAAGCACGAAATCAACTACAGAAGTAATCACAGTACTTGTGAGTTGCGGAAGGGCATCAAGAACTGGTAGCAGTAAACGTGCCGCAGCGAAATCCCTTCCGGATATCGACTTCTCGAAGATTTCGAGCATATGTGGAGAACAATTTCGCAATAGTGATTCCGGCAGCATTTGGGCACCGCCGATAGCAAGAAAACAGCAAGTGAATCGATAAATAATGACCTCAACCTGAAAACGAGATTTTAATATGGATGAAGCACTGTACTAAATTAAGCATTCTTAATAGAGAAGCAATTTGAAAATATGATCTCTCTCTGCTGAACGCAGTGGTTTAACTATATAATCTGCGATTTTGCAATATTATTTGTAAAACTTTTGCTTAAACCTAAAATATTTTAAGTAGCTATATCCACGGCCATAAACAAGCACCCCTTCAAAAAGTGAGAATTGGCTAAATTCTGTATATAGATGCTAGCCAGTTATACGTGGCTTGAATTGCAGCAGAACCCTTTCCTTCTCATTAATTATCAGACAGAAATTTAGTTGCGTAGCTAAAAAGTCGCAATGGGCAGCATTCTATACTGCATTTTACATGATAAAGATGATATGCCTCAGGATTTGCACGTACTATTTTGTGC